GAGATAAATATATATATATCATAATATCTTTTAATTATAATAATTTTTTAATTACATTATTAGATTACTTATTAGATTCTTTCAACATAGCATAGTTTTATTTGATATATACATAAAGAATCAATTCTTCTTCTAAGAATGAAATTCAACTATAGCAGCATTAAGAGATTAAAAGAAAAATATTTATTATGTTACAGGCATATGTGTATGGTGATGAGAGGAGTGCAGAAAATAAATAGTAAGACAGTTACATCAACGATGCTTGGTGTATTCCGGGATGATCCTAAAACTCGCGAGGAATTTCTTAATCTGGTTCATAATAAGTAAATTTTTTTTCTTCAAAATATGATTTTTTATTATTGGCCAAGGGACCACTGTATTTAAAATGGCCCCCAATACTTTTCTTCTTTTAACATTTTTATCATATTGCTACCTCACTACAGAAGACGTCGAAAAACAAGTTGATTTAATGACGTGCTTTCTTGTAACATTCCTTTTATTTTTTTAAGGAATATTTTGTACACATAACATTTTAAAATAATATTTTTTTATTTTAATTATTTTTTTCATGTAGTTAGGATAATCATATCGACGTAATAAAGTTGAACAATGTTGTCTAAGACGTTTTTCAAGACGCTCTTAAACTGCTGATCGAATGACATAAAGACAATACGGTAATTACTTAGGGAAATTTTCCATAAGTACTAGAGTAAAAACTAATATTTCTATGTAAAGAAAAACTTATGAATCATTTCCCGAAATGGCATATACATATTTGAGAAAGTATGTGATATTTTCGTTAGATATCCAATATTGCTAATAATATACGTATATTAATAACATTATCATGCTGCTGGACCAGCTGTAATTATGTTTTTGATTATTGTTATATTTTGCAAATATTTTCATAATGTTATTAATATATATAGAAAATGGCTAAATAACATTTAAAGCATCTCTGGTAAAGTAACTGCACTGTTTATGAAAATAAACTTAAGAAATTTCGAGACCGAAGTTTCTCGATCGGTATGAACTGAATGATTGCCAGAACACTTTCAACGGCCTCGTAATTCGTGACAATACATATTTTAGATTCTATACTATGATTCTGACTGAAAAGTGTTCGCGTTGCGATACATCATGCCAAACGAGAAACACAGATAAGCCTATTATATTTTAGAAATAATTTCTAAAATAAACGACGAATAAACGATAAATCTTTCAATTTCGTTATCGTTTTCAGCTTGTAAAACGTTAACAGCCATACGTTTTACAACGAAATGTTTTAATATTGACTTTTTTCTATTTTTTAATTTTTTATTGTATACGAATATAATTATTTAGTTACAAACGAATGTTATTTAAAATATTACAATATAAAATTAATATATTATTATATATATTCATAATTTTTTTAAAGAATATATAAATATATATTTTATGAAAGAAAATAGTAATTTTGACATATTTTACAGCTATATCAGATGTATATCAGAAAATGTTCAAAAATTTAAAAAAAAACAGTGTGATTATTATTAATATACTTTTAAAATATTTTAATATCATTGTATAATAATATGATTTATGTATGATTTCATCTTGTTTGTTTTAAGTAATGAAACTAATTTTTTCTATCTAAATTGTTAAAAATTATGTTAAAAAATATTAATGATGTTTAGTACTTAAAAGGATAAAATATTACATATTTATAAATATTATACATTTATAAATTTATTATTGTTATGGCAAATTTTATCATTTAATTTTAAAACTTAATAACTTAACAAATCAAAGATTAATAAATTTAAAATTATTAAAATTTAAGTATTTAATTAAATCCAAATTATTATTCACTGAATTATGTAAATTAAATAATTTATGAATAATATTTGAAATATTATATATATATATATATATATATATATATATGT